GATGCTTACCCAGCCTTCTCTTAAAGACCCCCAAGGTAGGGGAGAGCACTGCCTCCCTTGAAGCCCATTCCAAATTTTGGTCACCCTTACCAGGAAGAAATTTTTCCTGATATCTAGCCTAAATCTGCTCTCTGTCAGTTTGTGACCATTGTTCCTTGTTATCCCAAGAGACGCCCTGGTGAACAGAGCATCTCTGATCCCTTGCTGCGCCCCACTAATGAATTTGTAGGCAGCCACAAGATCACCTCTCAGCCTTCTCTTACGGAGGCTGAAGAGGTCTAGGTCCCTTAGTCTCTTCTCATAGGGCTGGCCCTCCTCTGGACCTTCCTGAGTCTATCAACATCCCTCTTGAAGTATGGTGCCCAAAACTGGACACAGTACTCCAACTGCGGTCTGACCAATGCCACATAGAGGAGAAGTATCACCTCCTTAGATCTATTTGTCATGCATCTGCTGATGCATGATAAAGTGCAGTTAGCTTTGCTGATGATTTCCTCACACTGACGACTCATGTTCATCTTGGAGTCCACTATGGCTCTGAGATCCCTTTCCGCTTCTGTGCTGCTGAGAGGGTCGTTTCCTAGCCAGTAGGTGTGCTGGATATTTTTATGCCCTAGGTGCAGCACTCTGCATCTGTCCTTGTTGAACTGCATCCTGTTGTGTTCTGCCCACTTTTCCAACCTGTCCAGGTCTGCCTGCAATTGTTCCCTACCCCCACAGTGTGCACTTCACCCCACAATTTAGTATCATCTGCAAACTTGGACAGAGTACACTTCACACCCACATCCATCTGCTTTTAGATGATGAATTCATTCCATGGTGCTGGACTTGGGAGCAAGGACAAAGTAGAGTCACGTCAGTTAACTCCACATATGTTTGAACACTGATAGTTAGAATTTATTCCTGACAACTTTTGCTAGCTTTCATGTAACAAGGAGTTGGAAGGTGATGCAAAAGCACAAGCTCATATGAATCATCACATGTAACTGTCAGCCAATTCAAGGTGCATCCTTGTCTTTGTTTCCATATACCACAGAAATGAATGACCAAGATGAAGAATTGTCCAGTAGTTGGTGCGTTGGTTCCTGAGTGCGTGCCCTTGCTTCACCACAGACTTTCTGTATCATCTTGGCCCGGTCATTTAATCTCTCTGTGCCTCAGTTCCTTATCTTTGCACTAGTAACAGTTCTTTTCACAGAGGTGTTTTGAGGATAAATACATTAGGTATGGTGGGACCCTCAGATTCTGTGGTAATGAGCCATGTAAGCACAACTCTTAGCACACCCAGCCATAGGTGCCAACTTTTCTTTTCGCTGGAGGGGGCATAAGAAGATGGACACGTAGAAAGTTTTACACATTTTAGGTGACAGCCCTCTTCCCAAGGGTGGCCAGGGCCCTTAGGCCCCCACTTATTTGGCACCTCTGCACCCAGCGTAAGGTAAAAGATGTGGGTAAAATCGATTTGTGGCTGAACTTGGACCCCAAGGTGGTTTTCAGATGGCTGTTCACATGTGAAAAAAATTGAAGCCCTTTCTTTTTTCTTAAACAGATATTTTTAATTATTCTCCGAGCTTTACAGCTGCTCTGCCGACTTGTGCTGTCTCTCCAGCCCATTCCTCTGAAGGAGGTGGCAGGAAAGGTAGGATTCACTGATGTGCAAAATAAAGGGATTTATTATGTGGGGGTCTTTGATCTGACCTTTGAAATAATAAGGAAGATTTGCATGATGTAAATGAGGATCAAAAATGTAGGCTAAGGACCAAAAAATACTCCAGAAAAAGAGCTAATTAGAGCACAGTTGCAGTCATAAGAACTTAAGTGCCATTTACTGGGTCAGACCATAGGTCCGTCTTGCCCAGTCTCCCGTGTCACATGGCGGCAAAGAATGGATGCTGAAAGGGAGAGTGAACTGGATATGATCACCAGGGTTTTTTCCACTGTTCCTCTCTCGCTTGCAGCCTCCAGCATTTGAAGTCTAGGAAGTTCCGAGTTATTTAACTTCAGGTACCATTTTAAATAAATTAAGCTAGCAAAAGTGTTTCCGGTTTAAGGGTTTTTATTTCAGTTCAATTGAATCTTGTTGCTAATTAATTTATGCTAAATAGAAAGAAGCCTTTTTATAACTGGAATAAGGGCCTTTGCACTGATGTAACTTAAAGCAGTTTAAAATCAAGCCTGAAATTAAATTAATGTGATTTACACAATCCCCTGGGCTGCAGAATGTCCTTTACCACTCCTCTTTGGTGGCCAAGGCCTGGTATATGTTACAGAGTTTTATCAACAAAGATTGTTGTTTGTTGCCAGAAGTTTTGCATGCCTCTACACAGATATCAGCCAATAAAACCCAGCATTTCTCTCCTATTTTTAAATGTTCCTAAGAGGTATTTCAACTTCAAATTAAGAAGTTGTTGAACTGAATAAAATAAAATAGAGAAAATACTCTTTCTGCACCTGGAGAAGAGGATACAGCTGTCAGAAGATGACTTATCACTTCAGTAAACTGGTTACAGTTGCTTAGCCAGTGACTTGCCGTAGAGCTGCCTAATTAAAAAAAAAAATGTACTGCCTGACTTTTAAATTTATTTAAAATGATATACTAGATTACCAGTTACTAGGTATTAATATAGGTTGTCTTAGTTTCCTATCTAATTTTACACGGGATTATTTAAAAAAAAGAAAAGAGTGTATTTAAGTCAGAACGTATAATTTAAATTTTTAAAAAATTGTATATAAGTAATTGATTTATATCCAACCTATTTTCCATCTCTCTCACTTGAAATGGAGCCTAAGTAACAAGCTATGCACCTTTAAAGGCAGACAATCTGTATTCACAGAGTCTTCCTTTCACTTGGCTAGGGACACTGAGCACAGCCTCTTTGAAGCGTATGAAATGGTTTTTTTCAGCCATTTGCCTGAAGGCTTAGCGTTCCCTGGGACATCCAGATCAACAGTAGTACTAAACTGACAACATTTTGTTCTGCCTCCACATAGCCCAGTTAGCTGAAGTTGGAGTGTGACTAACAACACGTTTCTTTCTTGTACAAAAATGAAAGTTGCTTCCTTTGTTTTCAGGGGAAGAGCTCCTCTAAGAGGCCCTCTGTAAGTGGCATGACAAAAGAGCAGGAGGGCTCTGCTAGAAATCCTAAAAAAAGCTCTGGCCCAAGAGCTAAGCAAAAGGAGGCACTCTTAGACAATGCAGGAGCAGATAAGAAACCCAAGAAATCGGACATCCCTGGTATTAAAAGGGCGAGTAAGTCAAAAATGGCTAAGCATGTCCAGGAACAGAAGGAATCAAGTGCTGAGGAAGGCAGCCCAGGAGAAAAAGAAGAAGTGCTAAGGACCAAAAATAATCGCCGAAGAAGTGTAGCCTCAAAAGTGTCTTACAAAGAGGAGAGTGGAAGTGGTGGGGACAGTGATTCAGAGTTTGAGGCTTCACAGGAAGAGAGTAGTGTCTCCGATGAGGATTTTGAAATTGTTCCTAGAAAACAGAGGAGGTCATCAGGGCCCCAGAAACCAGGGGTCACAGTCAAAAGCTGCAGGAAAGCTGGGCCTTTAGAATCAAAGCTACCCAAGAATTCAGGTGAAGCTGAGCATGCATTGGCAAAAAAGGCTTCCTCGGGCTCTTTTAATTCACCCAAGAAAAGGAACAAAATAATTTCTACTGATGAGGATGATATGGAGCCGGAGATGGTGAAAGTGACAAGCACAGACCAATGGCTTGAGGTTTTTGTGGAGCGGGAAGACAAGTGGGTCTGTGTGGACTGTGTTCATGGCACTGTCAATCAGCCCCAGCTCTGCTTCAGATATGCCACAAAGCCAGTGTCCTACATTGTGGGGATTGACAATGATGGGTGCGTAAAGGACATCACACAAAGGTATGACCCTGCATGGATGACCTTGACGAGGAAGTATCGCGTGGACCCTGAGTGGTGGGAAGAAACTTTGCAGCCATATAAGAGCCCCTTTGTGGAAAGAGACGAGAAGGAAGAAATGGAGGTAAATGTTATCAGCCCCTCAGGGTATTTCATACCAAGAGCCAAATCCAGGAGTCCAGACTTGGGCAAAAATCATTGATTGATTTTCCCTAAAGGTGTTGAGGTTTAAATGCCGCAGTATTTGCTGTGTGGTGTTTTCAGTCTGGACTCACTAAAAAGGAATATATAACATTACTCACAGGAAATAAATAAGATGGGGGCTGTTCAGCAAGGACTGTGTAGTTTGTTGCACAGACAGGAATTCCTGTGTACTTTGTTGCACAGACAGGAATTTTCGTTGCTGTTAAACCCTGGAGAACAAACTTGCCTGTGGGTTATTCCATTAATCTTGAAGGCATTAGTTACACCAGGAATGCTTTGCTCCCTTGACTTGCCCATTTGTGCTGGAGCTTGTGATTTTTTTCTTTGACCCAGTTTGTAGAAAGCCAGTCTGTTGTCTTCTTTAAAATGCTAGTGTGAAAGAGGGTTATTTTCATGATTCATGCAGTTTCAAGTTAAGCTTCAAGATCAGCCCCTGCCGACAGCCATTGGAGAGTACAAAAATCACCCTCTTTACGCACTAAAGAGGCATCTTCTGAAATACGAGGCCCTCTATCCTGAGACAGCTGCTATTTTAGGCTACTGCAGAGGAGAAGCTGTGTATTCCAGGTGAGATGTACATGTTGGTCACCTGTGCATAATTATTTTATGAAGCTAAGGGGGCTGGACAGAGGCAAGATGGGCCTGTGTATCTTTGTGGTCCACAGAGTTGTAGACAGTTGCTTCCTTCTGACCTCTTTAGGGACTGTGTGCACACGCTGCACTCAAGAGACACCTGGCTAAAGCAAGGGCGAGTAGTGAGGATCGGAGAAGTGCCCTACAAGGTAAGAGAAGTTGGCATGTCATGTATGCCTTCTGACATTGCACAGTCCTTTGCATTGCACAGTCCTTTGCGTTCTTCCCGTTAGTTGCACAAACACAATGTGCAGGGTGGGCTCGGCAGTGAGGGTGGTCATAGATTTCTTTCCCTCTAAGCAGCAGGGGTTGCCATGCTGTAACTTCTGGTTTAGTTGAGGATCCATCAGCTAGGTATCAACTCTTCTCAAAGCATCATCATTGTTTGCTCTTTACTGCCAAAGGGTTCCAATCCGCTTTGGGGATTCCTGGCTTATTCAGAGCCTTCTGGGACCTGGGATGGAGTGATTTGGCTCCAGTTAGCTACACTGTGCCTCAGCACATGAAACGTAAGCAAGAACTAATGGATGTCATAATAACAAACTATGAAACAGGCATCCCTTTCCTCCCGTACCCATCTCCTTTGGTCTCCAAGAAAAATCGATTTGTTCCTAAAATGTCATAAATGTAGCCACTGTCTTTGTACAGATGGTGAAAGGATATTCCAACCAGGCGAGGAAGGCACGACTGGCAGAGCCCGCCAACCGAGATAAAGACGACTTGGCTCTGTTTGGCTTATGGCAGACAGAGGAGTACCAGCCTCCTGTGGCCGTGGATGGAAAGGTAGCCAGGAGGGGAGCAGCTTGTATGTATACACAGTGTGGAAATTTGGAGTGAAGATGTAGGGTTTATAATTTCCAAAATAGCTTTGTGTTAAGAAGTGGATTGGTTTTGAGCACCTGCTCCCAGTTTTCTCAAAATTCAGGGGTGCCCAGGTCTGGGGTTTATAGATTGTGTTAATTATCATTCCAGCTTTTAGTCCTCCTTCACATGGGCCCCCATTTTGTGATGGGCAAATAATTGTGAATGGGATCCTGTGATTGTGAATAAAACAGGTCTACAATTAAGGCTTTTCACAACTCTCAGCTGCTTGGCTTTCTACACCCATTGTCTTAGTAACAAAGCCCAGATGATGAATTATACATGTAGGGATGTGATGTGAACATGACTAAAATGCAGGTGCAAAATATAGGTCAGCCTTTGAAAATGCATCTTTTTTAACTTAATTTGACTTTTAAAAGAATGTCACTGTGGGTTGTGGTGAATTAAAAAAGGAACAGCTAAGCAAATACACATTGCATATCTCTCCAAATATGCAAGCAGATAGCATAGGAATGTCCGTCCATCCCTGAAGAACATGAGTATTCACTTTTCTTTTTAATTTTGCCTGGAACAGGTGCCCCGGAATGAATATGGAAACGTTTACCTCTTCCTGCCCCGTATGTTACCAGTAGGCTGCGTGCAGCTAAAGCTTCCTAACTTGAATAGAGTGGCACGGAAACTGGGCATCGACTGTGTTCAAGCCATCACTGGATTTGATTTTCATAGCGGCTATTCACATCCGGTGTACGTTAAGGAGCTGTGTTTGGGCTGTGAGGATGTTTGCACGTTGTATGAGTTGTGTACTTTAGGCTAAATGAATAGGTCCTGCTATTTTAATGTTAAGGCAGAACACCTTAGGGCAAACTCTGGCACATGACATTACAAGAACCCAGAGTAGTGGTCTCAAGTTGCAGCAAGGGAAGTTTAGGTTGGATATTAGGATAAACTTTCTCACGAGGTGGGTAGTAAAGCACTGGAACAGGTTACCCAGAGAGGTCGAATCTCCATCCTTGGAGGTTTTTAAGACCAGGCTAGACAAAACCTTGGCTGGGATGATCTAGTTGCGGCTGGTCCTGCTTGGAGCAGGCGGTTGGACTAGATGACCTCCTGGGGTCCCTTCCAACTCTATTTTTTCTATGGTAACAGAATTCAGCTCAAATGGTTGTCCTCTAATTTTCCCTTGGCATCCATTTCTGCTCTGGAGGGGTAGGGAAACCACCCTTGTAGGCCCTTTATGTTAGCTGGTTCTCTGAATACCCGCTAACCTTTGATTTATGATCCATTGGTGTACGTTTACTGGATTTCTTTTTTCCTGGAGCAGCTGACGTGTCCTTTTGGTACGTAAACTGATGTATGATTGTGTTCTTTTTTCCAGCACTGATGGCTACGTAGTCTGTGAAGAATACAAAGAGGTGCTTGTTGCAGCCTGGGAGAATGAACAAGCAGAGATGGAAAGGAAGGAGAAGGAGGTGAGAATTGTTTTCACAGTTTCTTTGTTTGTAGTAACGGGTTGACTTCGCTTGAAGGGCAAGCGCATGGCAAATATTGGTATTGCAGTTCTACATTTTGATAACACCACTCAGCCAGAAAAATCCCCAGACACTTAAGTTTCAATCTGATAGCCAGCCTGCAGGGTGGGGTTTGATCCACTGCAACACTGCCGACACCTCTGGAGCAGAACACAGAAGTGATGTAACATGGTTACAGCAATACTGCAGAATTGTTTAGAACAAAAAATGAAGAATCCGTGTCCTGGGTTACTTTGAGGAGTTGCTTTACTGCCCTCTAAACTGGGATATGCCAGGAGCCAGTGACATTTAGTTTTGTTTGTATAGGAAATATTGCATTTGTACTGTCATGTCACTACTTTTTAAAGGGTATCAAGCATAGTAGATCCTCAGTAATAATGCAGTGCATTTAAATTAAGATAAACAATTCCTGATTTAGTCTAAATATTAAAAAGGTCTCTTGTGGTCCTGATTCCCGCCTCAGAACGTTTCTTAATTAAACTAACAATTCCACATAGAAACGAGAGAAGAGAGCGCTGGGGAACTGGAAACTGATGGTGAAAGGACTTCTCATAAGGGAGAGATTGAAGCAACGCTACTGCAATAAGGTATTGTGTATTTCTTTTACTAGTGATGTACTTTCCCAGAGAGGATTTCCCTTCTGGAGGCAAATATTAGTAGGAGTTTAATTATTGCACTGGATTGTTAACATTTTTGTTCAGTTCCTACACTCTCATTTTAGCTGCTGTTGATTTCACTCCTGCGATGGCCCAAATGGGTAACCTGAGCATGTGTTCATCTTTTACACAGCCCAATTAAGTACTTCCCCAGTTCATCTGAAAACACATCCAAAGAGTGTTGTTTTGCTAGTCAGCTGTTCCATGTGCTAACTGTTGCCTATGAAGAAGCTATTGGACTGTTTTAACTTCATTTGTTAATGCTGTTATGTTTCTCTCTTCAGCACATCCTGCTCCGATCCCTTCTGATATTGCTGCAGGTGGTGTTTCACTGCATGCTTAACCACTTAAGATTCATTTAACCTTTAGCTGCATTTGAACTTAGAATTTTATAATGTCAAAAGTCATACACGTTCAGTTAGTAGGTCATAGATTTCAAAAATCTCTTTGCTCAGGATTTCTTGCCTTTTCTTCTCACTAACTGGTACTAGGGTTAGAGCAAGACTTCACTCAGCCACATCACCTGATGAAGTTTCATCCCTGTGAAACAGATGATGAGCCCTTCTGAACCATGTATCGTGATTTTATATATTGTTCTGCATATTCCTTTTGTGGACTTTTTACACAGGCCAGAGTGTGGAGTGGCAAAGTGGTCTGTGTCAGTTTGCATTATGAAGTAAAATTATTTTGTCCCTTTATCTTTTTTTCACCACACAAGGTTAACAATATTAAGGCCAGTTTATTTTTTACACTTTATTGACTGATGAATGTTTTTCCTTGAGTTGAACTAATACTGCATATTCTGGAAATGGAGTCATACTCTTTTGTTTAGGGAGTTACTTATCTCCTCTTCTTAGACCAGTGCCACTACCTACTGCAGTATCTTCCACGATCGTGAGACTAGAGTATGGCAAGAGTGAGGGAGCTTCTTAGGAAGTGCTGATTAGAGTGAAGTTTAGAGCATTTCACAGCATTCGTATGTATCTTTTCCAGAGCGAGACCTCTAGGATGGAAAAAGGAGCTGGATTTTCTTCTGATGAAGAGGAAGGGCCAAGTTCAGAGACTCCAGCAGAGGATGTGGCTGCTTTTTGGCCTCTAAATCGACAAGTGGAGAAACAGTTTGAAGAGAAGAAAGTCAGAAAGAGCAAGCGGGAAAAGAAAGGAGAAGCGGCACATTTGTTTCCCTTTGAGAAGTTATGAACAGAACAGACCTTTCTTTGCATTTGGTTTCCAGATGCAAGGAGGAGGTGCTTGTTTTCTTCCTTGTAAATAATTACCGAGTGTGGAAGTATGTTTGACACTTTCCACTAGCTTGGGTTTGAATGAGGAGTCTTAGTTGTATAAATACAGCAGTGAGGAGATATGGTTGTGTATAAAAAATATATCACGCGAGCTTAATGGCCCAGTAAGAGTCTTCAGCTCTCTTGTGTTTGCATTTCTGAAGACACAAAAATAATACAAAGACCTTCTCTCCAATCTAGCATCAAGAGCTGTCTTAAACGACAAACTGGATCCATTTTATCCCCACTTGTTTTGGAGTTATGGGTAAGTGCATTATCCTTTTCGTCCAGGGAGTTTTGAAGACCAGATCTATAGATTATCTTCTGAGAAGAGTGACCTACTGCAGGTATTTTTTCCCTTTAGCCATGTATTGTCACCACCCAGTTTATTGTTGCATCTTTTTTGGCCTGTCTCCTTCCCCTAGTTTTGCTTGTTTGTTAGAGAACATAAGCAACTGCTGTTAAGTGATACCAGGTATGCTATTATTACAGTTCTGGAGGCAACCCCCTAGTAGAGTCTCAAATGAACAGTATAATAGAATGTTTACTCCTATCATCACAAAAGTGCAAATGTCTTCTATAGGCCTTTAAGAACCTGGAGGAGTCTTAACTTTTACTTCCTAGTGAACTCAGGTCCTTTTGAGAACTTGATTTTATTTTTCAAGTCTTAAATCATCCCTTCCATCAGCTCTTTTGTGGGAAAAGAAAAAGCACCTCATGTTTGAGTCTTGTCCTCACTTTTGGATACTATCATGTTGTAATTCTTAAGTTTTGGAGGGAGGAGTTATGTCATTTTAACTCATTTGGAAGTACAGTAACTGTACCTCTACTGCTGAGTCACTCTTCCTTCAGGTCAGTTTTGATAATGAAAGTAGATTAGAGTATGCTACTTAAGGATTTGCAAGATAGGCTAAGTGCTGTTGTGATTAATCAAATTAAGTGTAGGGATTTAGCAATTTGGTAAATGTTCTCGTTTTCTGTAGCAAGTTTCACATTCTGGATCTTTCCTAGCACTCTGAAACTTGTGTTTCAAATAGTGTAAGGGAATTTAAATCCACAGAAATTGTTTTCATACAGTTTTAAATGGAAATATTCAATCTGGTTTTCACAATTGTTTTTGGAACACCTATATTGACCTGACTGTATCCCTTTAGAGTAACCTTATCTTTTCTTATTCTCATTGTAATATATGGAAAGGAAGATTAGAAATATAGAAAAAAAGTAATTATTTTTGTACTGGACTTTGGTATAAAGTAGAATAAATAAATAAAGTACTGTTATTCCTTTTTTAGAGGGATGATTTTTAGTGATGTATCTGTGTTGAATTATTAATTATAAAAGTCACATTTCAAAACACTGTAAGACCTGGTATTGAACAGAAAACCCCTATTTAAAAAAAAGTTCACCGTTTTCACTCTGATTTAGCTTTTTTGCATTTGTGTTTCCAGGGTAATACTAGTATAAGAAACGAAGGTGTCTTTTTTATTTCACACCTGACATTGGGCTTGTAGGTAAGGCTTCAAGGGAAACTTGCAGGAGTTATCAATACTGCTGTAGTGACAGCAGTCTTGCTGTTAATTCTGCCCTTGCACGTATCTGAATTAAGGGCCTGAATCAGGCTCCTACTTAAGTTAGCAAGTCTTCATTTACTTAACTGGGCAGTAGATCTAACCCTAAAATGATAGCACCCCATCAACAGAGGCATTCTGGTGCAGAACAAGCTCCTATGTAGAGTTGTGGGGTCTGTCAGGGCACTAGAGGCCTCAATTCTATACAGACCAAATAAGAGAAATATTATTGCTGCAATGGTTACTATAGAAACTTTATTTGTGTGTAGGAAACTATGAATTCTGACTTGCCCTACACTGTGGAGATTCCTTTCTATGAAAGGAATCAGTTTTGCTTTCAAACCATGTATATATTCAAAACAAGCTACAGGCCAGCTATTTAAAGGTGTCCTGATTCCATAAAATGCGAGGCCTCTTTCAAAAAATATACTGTACTCACTGGATGAATCACAAAGGTTTAGTGTAGTGGGGCACAACCTTTTGGCCCTGTGGATCAGATGAGGGGCATGAGACTGGTATCAGGAAAAGGGCCTAGGGTGCCCCGCATCCAACCCTACATGCCTGATGTTACATGCAGGGCCATAGCCTAGAGGATGGATCTGGTAAGTGGACCAGGGGGTGAATACCCTGTCTTAGTGCTTTCCAAGAAACTTTGTGGAGACCAGCACGTTACCTTTACTCAAAATGTAACTTGGGCAAAAAAAGAGTTAAATAAATGGCTTGCTCAGCGAGGCTTATGCAGCACGTCTATCCCAAATTGTAGTTTAGGCACTCCCAAACTGCCTCTTCAACAGTACATTACCTCACCTTCTAGCAAATCAGTTGCTATGACCTTGCCTCTTGCTAGGAACTAAACTAATAGTAACTGTAAACTTGCTATTATAGAGATATAAAGTGCAATGGTGTAACAAGTTGGTTAAGAAGCTCTGAACAATTGCATTAAAAATGCTACCTCTGGAATTCATAAAAGCTGCGAAGGAAAGGATCTGGCAAAGATGGAACAAAAAAAGCACAGAGTCATTTGAAAGAAGTTTAATGGCATATACAAAAGGTCAATTCTTCCATAGAAAAAGGATTCCAACCCACCCCCCTGGCCCCAATTTACAGTACATGAATGCTAGTGTTTTCTCAAGTTTGGAAAGCAGAAACATTTTTCCCCAGAGGGACACACACAACTATCCATTAGACACACTGAAAGACATGCTTCAGAGGTTCAGGGACAGACATGAATTCCTCAAGTCTCTTTATAGCCCCATACTTTCTATTCAGACTATTTGCATATCTAAAGCAACCTTAGCAAGCGGCTGCCCATCCAAGGGTGCCTGTACACGTGCAGCAAAGCTACTCCAGTTAATAGTGCGTCAGAGCAAACTTGATCAATTGAGTCTGCTCAATTGCGTAGTACTTGCCACACTGGAAGAAGTGGATGCTTTAACTAAAGCCACCATTTTTCAGTGCAAGGATGCCGATACATGTGGTGCCCTGGATGCTTTAATTAAACCGGTTCTTGGAGCCACCCTAATTAAAGTGCCCCTCCTTTCCCCACCCCTGGGCACATGTATAAATGCCCCAAGTGATTTCACTGGGACAGAATAAGGCCCTGGGCATTTGAAACTGAACTGACAATGTCTGAATGCCTACAAAAATAGAAGGATGCTCTTTAACTAAAATTTGTTCAGAACAACAACTGGGGAGAGCCCGTTACCTAAAAACTCTTCCTTTACTTTTTAATACCATTTTTGTGCAAAGAATTAAGCGTTCATCTAAAAGGGAAGCAGATATGGCCACAGCCAAAAAGCCAGGCAAACCATTTGGAGCTTTATACCCTCTTTAGAAACAATTCTATGCTATTTTTAATCACAAGTACTTTTGACAGCAGAAAACTGTAAACATGAACATAAGGTTAAATATGGAGTTATTTTGTGTCCCACCATGAAATAAAACTCATGATTTAAGTTATTTAGGTTTACAAGATTTAAAGATTAAGCAGGACTACTTTGAAGGATTTAGATCTCAAGGAAGAAGTTATTTGTTTGGTTTGCAAATGCAGTGGTGGGGCATTTAACTCTTTAGTCCAGATTTTGGCTTTCATGACATAGCATAAAGTGAAATGGAGTGTTTTCATTGCCTTCATTAAGTAAAATACACAGCACACACATACTGTATAAAATAGCAAACAACGTGTAGGAGTACTTACTAAGCTGGACAAGTTTTGCTTCAGGATCTCAGGTTTCTACCCCTTTCCCCACTTCCTCCAATAAAGAGGTGGAGGACCTTAAAAGATGGAATTTAAAATTACTTTCAAGCTCCATCCTCTCCCCATGAAAAGATATTAGTGATCTTGGGTACAAAAGCTAAGACCGTTTAGTTTGTCTAGGGTCCTGACTTTGGAAAGGACCTTGTCCAGCACGTTCTGAAAACCAGGTACCTTTAAAAGTCATCTCAGCCTACTGCCCGCGATCCAATTTATATTTTTTTTAAACCCTTGGTTCAAGCGACCCTTATGCCTATTTTTTCTCTAATTACTGAAGACCAAGAGTCTAACACAGCTTTCACATGTATGCAAAGTTGCTTTTGTATATTAACACACGGGTTTTTTGCAATGTACACACCTACGTGAGAAAGTGAGATAGGAAGGTACACAAACACACTAAAGACTGCAAGTTGTAGATTACATGATAAAACTTGTCCACCGGGAGATTATACTAACCTGCCTCATTTAAAGAGGCCAGAAAACACTTGTTTAGAGGCAAATACTGCTTCTCACCCACTCCAGACTTTTTAAGTCAATTTCACTGGCTTACTACAAAGCAGTAGCCTGTAAAATTGCATTTTTTGTGCTTATGTGTTCAGCGAATAAACAATTACACCCAACTGAGCTCTTTGGTGATGTGCCTTAGGCATGTTGTAATAGCCTGAAACCTCATGCACTAAGCTTTACAGACTCCAGTGCAAAGAGAGCAAAAAGGAGCTCTTCCATCTTCATTGCTGTTTTTTTGCTGGAACTCGGGATTTGGCAATTACAATAGGAACTGCAGACAGCAGTGCAATCATCAAAGCCCACAGAGGACGGTAGAAGAGCCACCCCACGGAGATGGTCAGCAGGGAGAGAGAGGTGGCTATGCAGAAGGCAAAGGCTTTCAGGCCAATATTAACCAGGTCTCTGACAACAGGAAACCAATCCACTGTGGTAGGGAAGAAAACCAAGAAAGAAGCATGTGACAATGCAATCATTTGTAAGATTTTATATTGCCAAAAGATTGGGAAATGATACCCAAAATTATCAACTCTAGGTGAATGGAAAGACTCCCATTTACATCAACAAATACTAGACAGTGCTTACATAAGATCTCAAATCACTTCAGACATTGTTGAAACAAGACTCCACTTCTCAGGGAGGCAAGCAAGGAGCACTGACTGACCTGCTAGCTGAAGAGTGGGACAAAGACAAGTTCAGTGCCTTGTGCAAGAGAGCTGGAACCCAACTGTGATTCCCACAAGGCCTGTCCCATTATAAACTAAAGATAGCCCTTGTGCTGATGGACAATAAACATGTGTGAAAGGGTTACAGAAGGCAAGAAAAGGTTTCAAAGTGTTCACATTTCACTCCAGACCAGAAACTGCATTTGTTTTATGGAAAATTCAATCCAATTCTGCAGACATCTCTCACAGTTGTAATACTTTTCCAGACAGTCTATTTCAGAACAAGTAACTTTGGACTCAAGTTGATGCAAGTTTGATGCAACAAACAGCTTTCACCAAATTTATTGCATCACTTTCCTCAGTCTAAGGTAAGAGCAACTCGGAAGTCCTGTTTTTGTTGTCTGTACCGCACCCACCCAGCACAATAGTCCTGTGGTCCACATGGTTCAGGAATGGGGGCTCTAGATACTACTGCAATAAGACTTAAGGTACATGGCAGCTCTGTATGCAGCTAGCAGCTGGTTGGACTCTGCAGCATGGAGTAGGACTTCCAATCATCTGCACCAGCTGTGCTCTCAGTTTCTAGCTTTAGTAAGTGCATGGCTAGGGTCCACTGGGAACTTGGCTATGAGGCTAGACTGAAACATGACTTAGGCCAGAATTTAAAAGCAGATGGGTGTACACTGCAAGACTTCACTCAGAGTTCACCTGTCCATTAAGCAAGCATTCAGATCTCGATTTTGGTTCTGACCTCCATAGATGTAGAGGCCGACTTCAAAATTCAGATTCAGATCCAAGTTCCAAACCCCCAGAATCCATTTGCCATGTAATGATTGTCATTTGGCCCCAAGGGTTTGGATTCAGGTCTTACCTTCAAACCAATTTTTAATGAAAAAAAAACATACCCAAGGTATAAAGAATTCGGGTCATGAGGTTGATGCCAACAAACATGGCAAGCCAGCCTGCTGCACGAAGGCCCCAGGTCTTCATGGTGTTACTCTCATGCTCTTTCTGAAAGACCTCCTGAAATACAAACATAGTTACACATTTCCAGTTTCTAATTTTCCTTCAGGTTTCTAATCCTGCTGTTTCCAGGGCCTTAAAATGTGCCTCTCCTGTTCAGGACGCAATGCTTTTGAACAGCGACATGCATGTTTACAGCACTTTCAGTGATTCTGTGGGTTATCAGTTACCACAGAAGCAGCCCAATAGGTTACCAAAGAATCCAAAATGCAGCAAAAAGGCCAAGAGTGCTTCTGTTGATCACAAAACATTCTGTCACCCTTTGCAATGTAAGGACAAGTGGGAATTGCTC